AGAACACGGCGTGCAAGCCGAAAATAAAAGGAAACGACAAGGGTCTCTGCTGCTGGGGAGGCTGAGACATCTGGCCCTGGCCAAATTGAGGAGTATCTTGAGTTTGCTGGGCCTGTTTAGCATCAGCAGGCGCTCGTTCTTCCGCCCGCTCCTCCTCCTAATCTTCCTCTACAATGCCAGCCCATTCTTCGAAGGGAGCCGGCTTTTCAAGCCCAAGAGTTTGAGCATCGTACACCTCGGTGGCGTACTTGTACCTTAACTCAAAAAACACCCATTTGGTGTCCGGGTGGATGAGGGACCAGGCCATTTTCATGCGAGCCTCGCTCGGCCTTGTGATCAGCCTGCGCTTGGGACAACTCCTTTTCAGCAACCCATTTGGCTGCCAGCTCGGCCTTGTGATCAGCCTGCGCTTGGGATAACTCATTCTTCAGCCGGGAGACGTCTGCCCTTAGTTGGGTGTTCTCCTTGTCGGCATCCCCCAATGCTTTGACATCGGCCTGGAGATTTTTGACTTGCAGCTCAAAGTCAGCCGCCTTCTTGTTGACCGTGTAAGCAGCCGCAGTGAGCTCCTTGATAAGCTCCTCCTATTTCATCTCCCGTCTTTTAGTTTGTATTTCATACATTAAAGTGTTGAATTGAGTAACGTCAATAAGGTCATCCGCCCGCCTATTGGCGTCTCTTACCTCCTCTTGCTTCTTCCTCAAGGAAACCTTAACGCCGTCTACCCTTACCATCACCTAAAAAATCAGCCGAAAAAGGGTTAGTGTCTCATTTATGGTACATCCAGCAAAAAGAGTAAATCATACAAAAGTACCCCAACCAGCAAATTACCTCAGCAAGCAGCGAGTTGATGCGGTTGATGTTGACTTGGTGCACACCCAGCACTACCTCTTTCTTGGACCGGGTGAGGGTCCTCAGCTTCCTCTTGGCATATTGTTGGAGGTCAGGCCAACGGGAAGAGGGCATCTGCACCAACAGAGTCATTCGTTAATAATTGAGCATAGGCGGCACCTATATTCTGTCGGCTGCCTGAAGAATCCCCTAATTGGGTAGCTTAGGACTTGACTCGCATAGGCCCAAGCGGCCAAGGGGGGTCATTGGTGAAGTCCATAACTTGATTTTCAAGCTGAGGGGTCAACTCACCCCAGCCGCATTTGAGCTAGTTGCTACAGCAAGCTGCCGGCCCGAGGGCGTCTCAGGCTCCCTCGTCTCAACCTCAGCCGGCTCGGTGTTTAAACCAAGGTCTTTCAGGCTCTTGCCTGCTGAGGTTGGCCTGTCACGCACAGGCGGCCTTCTAGAAGAGGTAGGGGCAGCCGAAACCCTCCTTGTCTTAGAAGGAGGTTGAGAAGGCTCCTCGCCCGGTATTTTTAGCATTTTTGTTAGGGAGCGAGGAATATCTTTGCTCCCCGTCTGAAAAAGAAACAAAGCAACCGGTTAATATCAGAATATAAATCAAATTATACAGACGGTAAAAAGAGCTAAGCCAGAGCTTACCCCATCGTCCTTGGCCGCTAGTTGGGCCCTCTTTTTCTCGAACTGATCTTTCCGGATCTGAGCAGCAGATTTAGCAAGCGTCTTCTTTGGAGGCACCATCTCTAATCCTTTCTCTACAAAGAAGAGAATCAAAAAGTTAAATGCCATTCAATCACGATACAAGCGGCATAAAGTGTCAATTATCAATCAACATACGTCTGTTAAACATTATGCTAAGGCCACGGGTGGAAAGGAACGCCTTGTCCTTTAGCCAGTTCGGATGAGGGACCTAGTTCTTGGGCACAATGATTTCAGTCCCATTATCCAAAGGCATTGAGGTTTTCTTAAAGAGCCCCGTCTCCATTATTTGCAACCAGGCCTCTTCCGGTACTTTAGGAAGTGGGCATTTCTTTCCAAGGAGAGCCGGGTAATTATTGTAGTGATGCAGTCGATGGTTCAGACGCAAAGATGGAGAAGTAACCAAGTAAAACTTGCTCTTCCAACTGCTCCAGTTTGACGGTTTGTCCAACGTCATCAAGAATTCTAGGTGCGTGGTCAATGTATACCACACATTCTAGCCGCCTGGGGAACGGCTAAGGTAGTGCATATGTGCAAACTCCTCCCAGCTTGGCGTGATGTCCTGCATCTCGCAGGAGGCTATGTATCCTAACATATTCACCCAGGAATTGGGTGTTAACTGCCAAACGCCAAGGTTGTAGCCTCTTAGAATGGCTTTTATTGCATTGTGGAGGGGGAACCGGAGGCCGGCTTTAAATGCCGCCTCATAGCAGCTGAAATAGTCGTCGTCATGATCAAGGTCATCATCCCAAATGGCAGTTGCCTCCACAGGCGGTACTACAATCTCCCATCCATCTCCGTCCGGGCACTTTTTTAGAAATCCGGGGAAAGTAGCGTTCAAAGTGACAACATCCTAGCGGACATGTGCGCCTCTATTGGATTATTGATGGAGGGCCATTTATACGCCTCTTCATCCCTTTGGAGGGCATCCGGTTCTAAGGAAGACTCTTCAGAGTCTGATTGTTGGACGGTCTCTTCACCGCCCATATCCTCGGACTCCTCTTAAATGTCATCACTAGGAATGCTAGGTACACCCGGATGGTCATAATGTACAAGGTCAGCCGAAGCATCAGCTGAGCCGTCTAATCGATAGTCGGGGTCTACAACCGTCCGTCTCGTTCGAGCCATTCTATCCTGCACATGAACAGAGACGGTCGGATTCGCAAAAGTGTAAGGGTGGTCCAAACACCCCCAAACAACATCCCCAGTCCTAGACTCAGCCGTATTCGGTGACCGGCTAACAACTGTCCTAGGCCATGTCGTGTGTGTGTTGGGTGAGTCCATTATTCTCTACAAGGTATACAACCGGAAAAACTCCAAAAAGTTGCAAGGGGTAGAGACGGTACCTCGTAGATGTTTTGAGTGTGAGGAAAGTTAGCTATCTGGATCAACAACCGGAAATCTCTTTATTGCTTGCTAGATACCCAGACGGTTGCCCGGATGTACCGACTTGAAGAGTAATTGAAAATTGTAGAACAACCCAAACATTCCTCTGAAGTTTTGCTTGAAGATACCCCATATAGTTGACCGGCTGTGGGTGTATTTAAACCTAGGAGAATGTAAAAAGACCCTCAGGCGGTTTTAATATGTTTTGAATGAAGAACACTTAGATGGAAGCCGGTTGAGTGAAGAAAAGAAAGACGGTTGTGCAAGAAATAGCAGTAGGTATCAGAGCTTTTACTAAGAAAAATTGCTCACAGTGAATAAGTGTTGAAATGAAGGGGGGGGACCTCTACTTATAGAGAACCCCAGAAGGCACGTGCCAGCTGTGAGGGGAAAATGTTTAGGGTAAAAATACCCCTGTCCACGTGGACCAATCGTGTGCTGACACATGCCAGCATTAGAGAGGATCAAAAAGAACTAACCCTCTGGTGACACGTGGCACCCCAACCTGTGAAAGGGGAACTGATCCCCTTACACTATAAATAGAGGAAAATCCTGATTTATTGCGTTATTCATAAATATACACACAAAACCCGAGCAATATTAATTGCAGAATTCTCTCGGAATCCATGACAAAAAATTTTACATTCCGCATTTTTATACATCCGGACACGCTTTAACTTGATCGTCGAAGACGGAACTCCACCTAACCGGAGTTTTCCGTGGTATTGCAGGTACAGACGGTCGACGCACATTCTTGAAATTGTAACTCTCCCGAGGGACTCCAAAAACCCCGAAACACCCACCATCGTACCATTTTGACCCACCCGCTACAAAACTTCAACCCACCTCAAAACACCCCCAAACCACCTTCACACATCCCCAAAACCAACATAAGCCCTCACTCATAGGGATGTCAACGGGACGGGGCAGGGCGAATTTTGGCTTTCCCATCCCCATCATCGCCTAACATTCTCATCCCCATCTCCATCCTGGCGGCGGGTCCAAAACTTATCCCTCATCCCCGCCCCACCGGTCTAATTCTAAAACCATCCCCGCCCCACCCCCGCTTGGATATCCACCCCCATCACCTAATCCCCACCCAAGACCCGCTTAATCCCCACCTCCCAAATACAACAACACTACTTAATTTAGATTACAACAAAAAAAAATTATTGTTTGTATTACACTTTCTTTTTTTTAATAATATAAGTATATTATAATGTATTATATTTACTACTTCATTTTACATAATTATTTTAATGAAATAGTATAAAAGTATTCAATATTTTTTAAAAAAATATATAGATGGGTATGGGGTGGGAATGGTGCGGATATGAACGGGGGCGGGTGGGGAGGAGCGAGGATAAGGTGGGTATGAAGCGGAGCGGGTGGGGCAGAGCGGGGATGGGGCTGGTACAACCACCCCGCCCCATTACCCATGATGGGTATGGTTTTTATATCCATCCCCGCCCCATTGGGGCGGATCTCCTACTTGACCCGCCCAATTGACATCACTACTAACTCATTTGCAATTCCTCATCACACTTTCGCACGCCATCACCACACTCCCTCTCTACCTCTTGACGCCACCAACAACAACACCATCGCACAACTCTTCCTCATCATATCTCGTTGCCCATACTCTCACCTCACCTCAATACCCAACCACCAACACACCAACAAACATCAGCCACACCAAGCCGCCATTTCAACGATGCTACACCCAAAAACAATAACGCGGCAACAAAGCAACCCACGACATTAATTCTAGCAATTTCACCCTAAAAAATTACCTGATATTGGGAAACCCAAAATGTGTATTGTTATATGGAAGCAGGGAAGGGGAAAATGATGTAAGGGAAGCTGTAAGGAAAGAGATATTGAGGGATGTAATGATGAAATGGGGAAATAAGGGTGAGAATTTGGTTAATTTAAAATCATGTGACCGGCCAAAGTGGTTAACACCGGAGAAATTATTCAAAGACGGAAATTCGGCATAGGATAATTTCTTATGACATTTTTATATGAATAGATAGTTTCATACAACTTTTATATTTTAAAGGTTGTTTCTTACAACATTTTTTTTTAAGTAATTTCTCACAAAAAAATGGCTTTTAATCGATAGTTTTTGACTAAAAGTCAAAAAATAAATTAAGCCACTTTATAATCATCCAAAAATTGTAATCAGCATAATTTCTCATTCAATTTGGAAAAATAAAATAAAAATTATACCCTTATTCTAATCCACATGGCCTAGTCCAAAAATTTTAAAAAAATTTGCTCTCCACTTCCGAAGTTTCACTTAGCGCTTAATGTCCTAAATCACGGAATACTTAAAATTTTAAAACAGCCCGCCTACTCCCCTACTGCTTAACAAAATCACAAGTAGAAGAATCCTAAGTGCAAGCTCCAAAATAACCTTTGCTGTTTAAAAACATTTCGCAGAGTAAATTTGACCGCGCAATTTTCATTCCAAAACCCAAACCTGAAAACTGTCCAAATAAAAACATATTCCCAAACCCAAATTTCCCAATTTTCAAAATTCGAAACAACCCCCCTTCAATTCAATTTTTCACCGAACCAAACCGAAATTAGAAATTAAAATGTACATTCATAGAACCGCGAAACTTTAACATTTTTTGAAACAATCTCAAATGGCGCCTTCATTCTTCTACAAAGACTCTCACTTCTCTCACCTCCATTTCCACCACCACTCTTCTTCTGCTTCCTTCTCTTTCTCTCTCTAATTTTCTCTTTCGGCTTTCTGGTTATCGGAACAATGGCGAATCAGGAGAATTGTATGAGGGTTACCAGGCAGTCGGCGAAGCGAAGAGCTGCCGAAGCTATGTCAGAGAATCCGCAGCATCAGCCACCGGCGAACAAAAGAAGGGTTGTTTTGGGTGAAATACCTTCGAACATTTTGGGAAATTCAAGCTTAAGATCTTGTTCTGAGCCTCGTGCAAGAGGTCGTTCGAGGAAACCTGCTAAACCAATTAGCAGTTCGTCGATTCCGGCATCGGAGAAAACTCCGGAAGAAGATGTTGTTGGTGTTGGAAAGGTAGCTAATGAACATATTGATGCTGGTTCAGATGATCCTCAAATGTGTGGGCCTTATGTTACTGGAATTTATGACTATCTGCGGAATATGGAGGTAAGATTGTTAAATTTTTATCAAATTTTCTGTCATTTTGGTAATAATTATTGAGGGTTTGGAAATAGTAATTTATTTTTCTGAGAAATGTATCAATTTTTTTCCATTTTGGGTTGATTTTTTTTTGTGGGGATGGGGGGGGGGGGAATTGATTGTTAGGTAGGGTTTTTCCGAAATTAGGGTTTATGTTTGAAACTGAATTGGGGTTAATTGAATTGTGTAGCAAGAAGAGAAGAGACGGCCGCTGGGAGAGTACATGCAGATAATTCAGAAAGATGTAAGTGCGAATATGAGAGGAATTTTGGTGGATTGGTTAGTAGAGCTTGCTGAAGAATTCAAGGTTGTTTCAGACACACTTTATTTGACAATTTCACACATCGATCGATACTTGTCCCTCAAACCGATTAATCGACAAAAACTTCAGCTTCTGGGTGTTTCTGCTATGCTAATTGCATCGTATGTTTTCGATCTTCGATTTCGGCTTTATTTTTTTTTATTTTTTTTTATTTTTTATCTTGTTAGAATAATTTTATTGAAGTTCTCTGTTATAAACTGTAGGAAGTATGAAGAAATAGATCCCAAACCTGTTGAGAAATTCTGTGATATGACAGAAAATACCTACACTAAACAAGAGGTTAGTTCTCAATTTAAATTATCTCCAAATCATTGAATCTGAATCTGGGTTATTGGTTTGTATTGAGAATGTTGTTCATTTAATGTGAAGGTTGTAGATATGGAGGTTGATGTACTCAAAACTCTCAACTACGAAATGGGTAATCCTACCGTAAAATCGTTTCTCAGGTGAGGATCTGAAGTGAATTGCATTGTTCATTAGATGTATAATCTTTTTGTTTCTGGTGTGTTTTTGGTGGATACTTTATTAATTAGTTTGTCTTTCCCCTTTTGTTAATTTCTGCAGGAGGTTCACCAGGGTTGCTCAAGGAAATTCTAAGGTATGTTAGCTGGCTACGGCGCTGTATCTGCTGTCTATGCTTGATCTGATAAAAGGAATCAACTAGTTATTAACTTATATTGTGATTATACAGACTCCAAATCTGCAGTTGGAATTTTTGGGTTACTACTTAGCTGAGCTCAGTTTGCTAGATTATGGATGTGTGAAGTTCTTACCTTCTATGGTAGCGGCATCAGTTATTTTTCTTGCAAAGTTTACAACACAACCCAAAAAGCACCCTTGGGTAAGTATTAAACCTTGATTTGCTGTTTATTATGTAAGATCCTGAAATGGAAGTCTCAAGTAACTGATTATGCATTTTACAGAATTCAAGCTTGCAATCTTATACTGGTTATAAACCATCGGATCTAAAAGAATGTGTTCTTCGGATCCAAGACTTGCAACTAGATCGAAGAGGCGGGTCTTTGGTAGCAGTACGAAACAAATACAAGCAGCATAAGGTAATGCATTTTGCCTGCCTGACTGCTTCTTATCGTTTAATTATGATGGGGCTTTTCTAAGTTGTTTGTCTGATGTTAATTCTTTATTTTCTGTCACAGTACAAATGCGTTTCAACATTAGCATCTCCAGCAGAGATACCCGCTTCTTACTTCGATGAAGTTAAGGAGAGATAGATCACTCGGATCGCAGATCTTGCTTATTTTGCCATAGATAAAGCTCTCATTGCTAAGTGCTAAAGATGCTACCGATGAGCAGCGTTTCACATTTTTTTTGTAAATTTAGGAGTTTAATTGCTGATTGAGTGTAGCAAGCAATTTTTGATATGAATTGAAAGCCATGACATCATATGCTTGTATGACTTGACATTGATGAAGTTGCCGGAGCAGATCTGTGCAGTATATAGGCATGTAATTTAGGGTAAAATCAGAATCTGGTTGTAGATGATTAGTCTAGTGGTTAATTGAGGATGAATGAAATTAGCACTTGTTGGAAACTTCAGATTAATAAGACTTGCATTATTTGCCTCATCTTGTTTTATATGTGCATTAATAAATCTTTCAGATAATATCTATGTTCCTAATCTCCTATGGACCGTTACAATTATGGATAAACCCAATGAAATCATAAATCTTATATTCTTCTGTAAGCTGTTCTCGACTGTGTGTAAGTTTTGCAGTACTTCTGCAATGGAAGAGAGGAAACACCAGAAGATTCTTCATTTACAATCCAATCGATACTATTTAGAACACTTGGAAGATGGATATCATAGCACGAGTCTTTCTTATGTATGTAGAACTAGGCAATAAGCCCTGCAATTGAACAAATGCACCTCCACAAAATCCTACTGTAGATTGTGAATGCCTGAATGTTTGCAGCCAGGTGCTGCAAGTACCGGAATTTGAGAGGTTTTAAGCTTTTCTCTTGACTATGTGTAGTTGATTGCCTTAATAGGTAATGTAATTTACATACTCTGTATCATTTACATTTGTACTTTCTTGCTTCTATGAATGGCAATGCACGATATGTTTGCATTGACCTTGACATACCAGAAATATTGTATGACACTGGTTGTGAGCCCTTTACCAAACAGGCAGTAATTAAACTTACAAAAATGTTATGAATCAAAGAAAGGGGTGTTTTAGGTTGAGGGTAATGGTGGTTGGCTGGTGTATGTGAAACTGGTGGAGGTAGGGTGGTGGTGTATTGATGGCGTGGTGGTACATTTGGGGTATAAAGAAAGGGGATGGAAATAACATGGAAGGGGTAAGGAATCAAAAGTAGAGTTTGGAAGTAAGAAGAGGGTAAATGGTAGGAATGTTTCAAAATCAGGTATTTGAAAAAAAAAAAAAAAAATTGGGTTTTTGGACCGGAAAGGATTACAATTTTTCCAAAAATTCTATAACCCGATCAAAAAATTTGTTGATGCAATTTGAAAACCGATGATTTGATATGAAAATTCGGATATCCGCCATCTGAAATTCTAAAAAAAATTAGGATCAGATATGTATCATATTTTTTTCTGATTTGAAATTTCGGAGATCTGAAAATTAAGATCGGATAGGGTTTTTATATTCAAAATTTAAATAGCCCTAGTAAATGGAATGGCTAAATTGACATTACAAACAACAACAAAGGAAACATGCCTTGTCCATTCTCCTTCCCTTTTCTAATTACTGCCTACCAAACAATGGATCCAGGATTTCAAAAGTGTGGGTTTGGAATCATTAATAAGATGTAGGTTTTTTTTTTTTTTAATTGCAAACTGTAGACACCTAATTGTGTCTCACCAAAAACCAAACCCAGTGATGAGTACCTTTCACGTATTTGATTAACGAGTTCGGTAAAGAGTTGAAAAGTCTCGTGAAATTCCCTTAGACCTTGACCATATTTCTAACCTTTTACAAAATGTTTTAATCCAAAATCATTTATTTCGTGACTTTAAACCCAAAATCATTCATTTCGTGTCATCAAAATCGTTTTTTTCGTGTCCAACTCATAAAAACATCCAAATCAGATTATTTTGGTCCATAATCTTAGTCCAATTATTGTTTAGTTGGATGGGGTTTGAAAAGAGCTTTCCAACGATATATTATAAGTCCAAATCCGACTTAAAATGAATAAATTATGGCTAAAATACTAAACCGAGCCCAAACAGAAGCTAGGTCCACCTTACCTACAACCCAATGATCATATGAGGGTCCAAATATGTTATTCCTAATCCTAAATCAATTAGTACTCTATTAGAAGTTTATAGAAGGTTCTAATTTATCCTTTCCGAAAAGATAAATTAAAGATCAAAGAGTTTGATATTGAATAAAACTTCTCTTTTAGATAATCCTTGTTCTATTCAAATTAAAAGATGTTCGAATATAATTTTCATATAAAACCCATTAGAAACCAAATTCTGAATAAAATATATTATCCTTTAAAACCAGCGCACAACGCCAGGACTAACGCACTGCGACAGTCCCATCGCAGCGCGATGCGTTAGTTACTAGCGTGGCGCGTCAAGAGCAGTTCTATTCCGTTCCAAATTCTGATCTTTTTTTATTGTCCAGACTCTCTTTTTTCCTTATAAATAGAGGTCGTTTTCAAATCAGCTAGAACCATCAATCATAAGCTATAACCACCTAGCTCCAATCATCATCAATCCTTATCAATCATCCATGTTCTTAGCCTAAACATATCTTTGATACTCTCCAAGATCAGTCACAATACCTCAGTTACGAGATTCGAATACTCTAAGCCATTCTCGACGTTGCCTTCGACCTCGACGTGAAAGGTTGATATTTTTGAGGGTCTGATCCCAAATCTATATTTCAATTCATATTTGATTTATTCAGTTGATTGATTTAATTTTCTTGAATGAATGCTTTGTGCAACAGTGGGGGAAGCAAGTATAACTTGCGGGGTCCTATCCATGGTGCCAACCCTTCTAAGGTTAGGCTTCCGCACGATGCATCCGGACTCATAACCATGGACCCTCTTGGACACCATAATCCTTGACCTTAGAGAACTAGAGCCATGGTTAGGTTGCAAACTCATTGCATCATGTTGTGACTATTTAACTACTTGTGCATCTCTTACTTGTGCATATCCTACTTGTGATTAAACTAACCTTTTGTGTTGCCTTGTTCCTTGTAAATAAAGTCTTAACAAACTAACCAAGGATTAAAAAGGACTTTGCTTAATTATTGGTTAATTAATTCGAACCCATAAAGTCTAAACATACTCGACCCAGTAGTACATAAGCTTAAACCTTCGAAAGGATCACCGAAGAAAAAACTAGATTGACGTTCCATTCTTGGTGCGAAAATTTGGTCTGTGTCGCAGAAAGCCAGGTCCATTGCGCCGCCGCAGTCTTGACGCGCTGTGATGGAACCAGCGTTCCACAACTGTTCTATCGCCACGCGATGGTTCAATTTTTTCCTTTCCGAGTCATTGCGTTGAGTCTAATATGCCATGATTAACCAGTTTAATCAAACAAAGTCTTAACTTAGTCTTTGCTTGAGTCTAATCACATATCTAATCCCATGGTCATTACACGAGTCATGAACATGTCACTTTCACTCACAAGTCTTAGCACACACTTTGTACATGTCTTTTCACCACGACCATGTTAAGATTCTTGTATGCGTATTTTCCGTCATTTTTGTAAGGGGGGTAAGTCGGATATCATCCTCCCAACATAAACCATGTCGCTTGAAAACTTAATTTGATCCCTATACTTGAACCCAAAATATCCACCCATTTTTTGCTTTTTTAACCCAATAAAAGTACGAGTCAATTAGAGTCAAGTCATTAAAAGAGTCAATGATTTAATTTTACAGTGCTTGGTCAAGGAGAGAAGGGCGCTTAATCAAGGACAACACCTTTACACAAGTACTCCTCTTCGATAGACCGGTTCGAAAGATAAGAATGGCAGCCAGTCAAGAAGATTTTGAAAAACTTAACTGTGAATGGACTTGCTGAAATGCTTACGGGACTCACCACCCGAGTCGAAGACCCTAACAAGCAATCACCAATTGAGACAATCAAGCGTATGGAAGATAGCTTAAGCCAAATTTCTAATGATTACAAGTACCATGGTATAAACTCTAAGAGGATCTCATTGGACAAGGGACTTCTTCCGCACAAGTTCTCTGCCAATGACATCCCTAAGTTCAAAGCTACTGACAATCCCTATTTTCATTAGAGGGCTTTTGAAACAATCATGGAGATCAAGGGGATTGACAAGAAGGTTTTCCCCTCGCTCTTCACTCTCTCCTTGGAACCAGTATGCCAACAATGGTTCTTCTCTATGGGTGTCAAAAAAATTGCTACTTGGGATGATATTACACATTCTTTCATTGATAGATACAAATGTAATATTCAAGTAGAAATCGATCACTTGAAATTCTTAAACAAAAAGAGAATGAAGGTTTTACTGCATTTTATAATAGATGGAAGGAAACTTCTGCTAGAATGATTAAAGTTTCAAGAAAAGGAATCTGTAAGGACGTTCATTAAGAATCTCCAAGAGAAATATCAAAAACACTTTAAATATCAATGTAACTTGAATACTTTCAAAGCTGTTTATAATATAGGCATTGAAATAGAAGATGACCTTGCAAAATTGAAAGCTGCTAAAAATAGTAACAACAGTGGCTGGAAAGGAAAGAAGAACGACAATCCTTCTTCTTTCGAAAACACTTACTCTGGTAACAATGTTAGCACCTACGATCTTAATGATGTCTTAGCATTTGACAATCAAGGACCAAGAAGACAACAAAAGAGAGAATTCACCCCTATTGTGATGAGCTATGACACCGCCTTCGATCGTCTCCATGCCAAGGGGCTCATCACTCCCATTAGACCTATTCAAGATCCAGCGCCTGAAAATAGATCATCCAAATGGAATCCTAACGCCCATTATAAGTACCATCAAGGTAGGGGTCATACTACCAAGAGTTGTTGGAAACTAAAGGAGGCCATCGAATATTTGATTGATAATAACAAGCTTCCTGTTCCTCCAGTCGGCAAGAAGACCGAGTGATGATAAGCATGAAGCACGAGACGGGCTTCAATGACAAGATTTCATGATTCCTTTCTTATTTTTGATTTCCCATTCCCCAATAAGTCTAGCATAGGCACCCTTCATCTTCCTTAGATTTATTTCATAAGTTTGATTTTTTTCCTTCTCTATTTTCAATAAAATGAGCATTTTAATTCTTTGTATATGATCATTACATTGCATTTAAAAAAAAAATATCCACACCGAGCTAAGCACAAGGTATACCAGTGATTTAAGGCACCCTTTGTAGCCACATCATATCACCTTTATCCCTTTCAAATATACAATCCTTTCTTGATAAAATACTTTGAACCTCGTTTAACGATTGACCTTTTTTTTTGTCAACCCTCATCTACCTAACGTTGGGATGGGAAGGTGTGCAACTTATGCAATTTTCAAAGCCAAGTGATAAAGCTTGAGTGATTTTTACCAAAATTTCAAAAAGTTTAAAAATCAATAAAAGTGTGCAAAAGG